GGCACCTGGACAGGGCTGAGCTGCTCTCTTCGCCTGGACCTGTCCTATGGCTGCCCGCTCGCTCGCCCCTGGGCCCGTTCCCTCTGGAGCAGCTGCGGCTCCAACGGCCCCGCCCAGAAGCCAGTTGAGTCACCCGAACCCCGGGCTGCAGGAACCAGCCCGGCCTTAACCCCTTCCTGCTCCTCCTCCTTCACCCCGCTCCACCCGGCAAAGGCTCCGCCTCCTTTCCTGCCCCGCCCCCACCAGCCCAGGCCAGCTAGGAAAATGAATTTCAAAAGCCACCTGGACTCTAGCCCTCAAACTCAAAAGGGCACTGAGTCGGCCGGGCCCCAACTTGCTGGGTAAACCTTGCCTAAGCATCTGCCCCATGGGCCTCTGCCCTCAGCTCCAAGGCAGGCAGGGGGCTAAGCGCTAATAGAAATCACTCCTCCAGCCAAAACCTCTTCAGTACACAGGCCCATCAGGCATGAATTTACACCTCACATGAATTCAGAGTCACTGACCCCCAATGAGACTGTCATCACCAGCTAGCCCCACTTCCCAGCTGCAGAAACCAAGGCACCTGGCAAGAGAGGTGACAGGTTCCAGGCAACCTGGGGCTAAGCAAAGGGCAGGGTCTGGGGCTGAACCAGCACTCTGCCTCCTAAACCTCTCAGAGGGGAGGGGACTCCCGGACTAGCTTCAAAGCACTTCCCACATCTGTTAACAGGGACTGAGCCCTGGTGGCGCTGTGGCTCGGCACTGGGCTGCTAACAAGACCTGCAGCTCGGGAACTGGCTTTCCACTCCCGAGAGGTTACGTCTCAGAGACACATGGGGCAGCTCTGCGTCGTCCCAGAGGGTCACGATGAGTCAGCAGCGACTCGATGCCAGGGAGTTTGGTTTTGAGTTTGTTAACAGACAGCATCTCAGACATGGAGCAGGAGGCCAGGGGCCCTGAGCCCTGACTGGCCCCAGTGCCGTCAACCCAGTTGGCTAGACCCTGCTCACAGCTGTACTCCAAGCTCTTAACCCATAAAACAGCAGTAGAAAGGATGAAGCCCCATCCGCCCAACCCCACCTCCACCCGTCTGGCCACCTCCAAGGCTGCACCCTCACCTCAGAGCAGCTGCCAGGGGTCTGTGCGTCCTTCGGCTCAGATCCGGCTCCCCGCCTTGCACTGCCAGTGCTGGGCGGTGGCGATGCCAGGAGGTCATCCAGCCATCGGGAGCTATTTCCAGGACCCACAGGTTCTGGGGAGGCCCTGCAGGGGGCTTGGGCCTCCATCCTGGGCTGGGTGGTCTCAGCCTGGGCCAGGGTCACAGCCTCCTCCTCCGAAGGCGATACCCGCCCGGCTGCGTTAGGGGCATCGGCAAAGAGGATGCAGGGCTGGTCAGGGGGTGCTGGCTGCTGCTGCCCCAGGATGGGCTCCAGGATGGGCAGGGCCACCTCCCTAGTGGCTAGAGGAAGGGGGGACTCCTGCCCAGCCAGGGGCTCCCGCTCCTCATACCTCTCCTGGGCCTGCAGCAAGGTAGGGGGGCCAGGCAGGCCCCCTGCTGTAGGCAGGGGCTGAGGGTCACCCTTCTGGGTAGGGGAGATTCCAGGATCACCCTCCTGCAGCTGGGAACTCGGCTGTCCCAGCCCCTCGGGCACAGCCCGCACCCCTTGTTCCTGCTCAGACACCGCTGCTTTGCAGATGGATACAGAGGAGTATCCGGCCTCAGCGGCAGCCTCGGCAGCCTCGGTAGCTTCTGTGATGGGAGAGGGGGGCGGCGAGTCCAGTCGACAAGTGCCCAAGCCGGAGGGCCTCGTGGGGAAGGTCCACTCAAATGACTGAGAGAGGCTCCAGTTGGACTCGGTGTCGCTCCCAAAGGACCGACCCAGGGCCACCTGGTTTTCCTGGGCCGGAGGCAGGGCAGCCAGTGAGCCCCCCAGCCGCTCCCGGTCCGGGCTGGGTGGCCGGAGCACACCTTCAGAGAACCGGCGCTGAGCCAAGCTGGCCGGGCGGAAGTCCAGGGGACCTTCAGCCACCACAGCTTCCTCCGACAAAAATGTCTGCTTGAGGTTAGGGAACTCGTCACCCTCGATCAGACGTCGGGGCGAGCTGGCTGGGGGCTGCTCGGGGCTCTGGCACCCCAAGTCCCTCTCCAAGGTAAGGCTGCAGGGCCTTGGGACCTCAGGAGCGCCCTCAGCAGGGAGCCCTGGGTCAGGGGGGTGGCAGGAACCTTCGTCCAGCAGGGCTGGCCTCGGAGATTCGGGAGTCACCGGGGGCAGGGGAGAAGCCCTGGGAGCCTCAGGGCTCTGGGCTCCTGGGAGCAGAGCAGGGTGGGGAGGGCTGTCTTCAGGTGAGCCTGGACAGGGAGGACCAGGCACGGAGCTGGCGACATCACCAGGACTGACAGCACAAACTCCGTTGTCTGAGGCAAGGGCCAGCTCCGAGGGGTCCTGAGGCTTGGAAACCTGCAAGATAAAGGTCAAGAGCCATCAGCCATCACTCACCTCTCAGCGGGGCTAGGGAGGCCGAGACCAGCTGACCCCACAGGCCAGGAGGGAGGACGAGGAATCATCTCAGCATCTAGAAGTGGTTCTGAACCCGGCTTAGGCAGGGCTTCCTACACTTCTGAGGGTCATGAGCTCGGGGCAACCCTGTGGGCCAGCATACAGACTGTGCCCCACAGTGGCCAATGGCCAAGTTTTCAGAAGTCAGATGCTGGGTCTTTCTTGCAAGGTCTCTATGGGTGGATTAGAACTGCCAGTCTTTTGATGGGTTGCTCTCTGGGTGGGTTACAGAACAGAAAACACATAGTTTTGTTACTGAGCCCATAGGTCCAGGAAGAGCAAGACACACCCTGCCCGCTGGCCCCAACTACCACCAACCTAAAGCTCATCCATGGGTCTAAGCACACAGCCTAGGGAAAGAAAACTTGGGGCCCTGGGCATGATGGAAATGAGAGAGTGGGGGTGGGGGTGGGGTGGCCACTGAGCAGGACTCTGGGCCCTCTGCCTCTCCAGACCAGCTCCAGAAGCAGTGAGTCGGGGGAGGTAGGCACTCCAGGAACCCACAGCTGCCAACACTGCCTGAGGAGCAGGGGGGGTCTTGGGGGACAGGAAAGCCCACTGTGGGGGTGGGAGGGCACAAGAAGGCATTGCCACATGCAAACTGCGTGTCCTTCTGTACGGTGGTCAGGTGCCCTCCTCCCCCCCCAACCCGGAGCCTCCACTTTCCGGTCTGTAAATCGGCACCCTGGCAACCATGTCCCTGAGACAGAGTTAGGCAAATATCAGGGCAGGATGCACACCTCAGGCCTCTCAGGACAGGATTCAGCAAAAGAAGGAATGTGTGGGAGGAGGGGGAAGGGATAGATGACCTTCCATTCCGCCTAAGCCTAGACAATGAAGGACGCCGGCTCCATCTGTCCTTTACCATCTGCCCCCCGGAGGTCATGCTTCCCTTGCTGCTCTCCCTAGGATGCTGCGTCTCCCCCATCACCACCCCACAGGCCCTGGGCTTGTTTCTCCAGGCCCCTTCTATTCCCTCCTCTCAGCACAAACACCAGTGTGGACACTCACACTCTCAGCCTGTCCCACCCACAGCCCCTCGGTGGTGTGGTCCGCTGGACCAGGCCACCCCCCTCCTTCCCTGCTGGCTGCACCCTCCTGGACCCTGGCGCTGGCCCCATGTAGGATGGAAGGATCAGCTGAAGCTGTGAGTAATCCCACCCACGGGGTTTCCACTGGCTGATTTCTGCCGGCAGAACTCAAGGCCTTTCTTTGCAGTCCGTCTTAGCCTGAAAGCTCAGCCAAAGCAGCTCACAAACGGCTGTGGACAGAGGCTGGGTGCAACATCGTCTCCAACCCAACCGAGGCCTGTTGTAATGCTTAAGTGACCCCAGCAGCCACACGGCCCCTTCTACCATCCTGGCTCTCTGGCCCTTGACCTCCAGTGTCCCACCCACTGCCAGGTTCACACCCAGACCTTGTCCTTACAATCACGACAACCACTCCCAAACCTCATTGCAAGTTCCCCACTGGTTTCCCCCACCCACCCCTTATCTGTCCAGCCCATTCAACCCTCGCAACCCTTTCGATCCATGCTCCCTCGGGGTGGCCAGTAGTCCAGGGATCCTACCTACTTGTCGCTGCCCCCCTTCCTCTTCACTTCTTTTGACCCCCATTAAAGTCACCTTTGGGCACAATCCTCAACTCCCCGTGCTCCCTCCTTCTCTCTGGCTCTCCACCACCTGCGGCAGCACCCGGACCCCTGCATGTGGCTGAAGAGGAGCATACATCACACCTTGATGATCTCTTGGGCCTCCAGCGACAGCCTCCCACAGGACCCTGCTGCACCCTTCTCCCAGAGGGCAACCTTGCACCTTCTCCCCTGGGCCCTCTAGCCCCTCCTACCCATGTTCCCCTTCGATGATGGTCTTGCTTCCTGTTGCCCAAGAACAAGGAGACCTCCAGCAGATGGCATGCCCACCCCATGCCCCTGGCTACCAGGCTGAACTGTCCTTCCCCAAGGCCACCTCCTCCTCTCTGAACAGCACCATTGATTTCTCCCTCCCTGCTGGCTCAATTCCAGGAGCAAACTGCTCTAACTCCCACAAAATACAGCACCATTTTGAATCAGCCCACCCCTCACTCACTCCAGCTACCACCCACTCTCCCAAAGGCAGTGCCTACACCCACTGGCTAGAGTTCCTTCCGCTTGCCCCAGTGTCTCCGGAGCCCACTCCACACACGCCGAGGTCTCTAATGACCTCCGATGACTCTCAGAGCTCGTCTGACTTTGCCTGTCAAAAGCACTGGGCACGCCAGGCAGGGCCCATGCCCCACCCTCCTCCAAGACATTCACCATCTGCGATCCCCTGATCAGCTTCCTCCTACTGCCTTCCAAGTCGCCTCAGCTGGCTCTCTGGTCCTCTCCCATCTGAATCCAGGAGCGCCAAGGGCTTGGTCCTGGCTCCTCTCCCCTCCTAGAGCTTTGCCTGCTCCCTGGGGATCTCAGCCAGATGATCGGCAGAGCACCTGTCCTGGGGAAGGAGCCCCTGGGTGGTGCATGCAGTTAACAAGCATGGCTACTAACCGAAGCGCTGGGGGCTGGAGTCCACCCACAGGTGCCTCAGAAGAAAGGCCCGGTGATCGACTTGTGAAAAACCAGCCACTGAAAACCTTACGGAATTTTTTTCCCCAAATAAAGTACTTTTTATTATTGCTATAAAATAATGTATTTCCTTCCTTTTTGCGGGGGAGGAGGTTAAAACCTTACAGAATTTTCATGGAATCCAGACTTTATGAACTATTGCCCTGGGATATAATCTTTAAACTTTAAACTGAAATACCCTCTAACCTGTTCTTGAAATCAAACAGCAAACCAAAAACCCAAACGCACTGCTGTCGGGCCGATTCCATCTCATAATGACCTGTGGGGCGCGACTAGTAGCCCAACTTGCAGCTCTTCATCCACGGCACTGCCCAGTACACACAGCAGCTGCCAAACTGCTCCGCGCCCTGCATGTCCACCTCAACAGCAGTGAAAGAAAGCAGATGCTAACCAAAGGGAACAGCAGACAGGGGTCGTTCAACGTCTTTCTTTTAAAGATCAAACCCTATGGAGCGCTGCTCTACTCTGCCACCATAAGGTCAGGTTACCTCGATCGGAACCAGCGTCAGTGGCGAGGGGCCTGAGCACAGAGCCCCTCCTCGGCAGTCACCCATGAGCTAGCTCCGGCCCCTGGGCCCCACTGCCTGCTTGGCCTGGGTCCTTGACTCTCCTCGGGGCACCTCAAACTCACTAAGTCCAAATGCAAGCTCCTCCTATGTCCCGTACCCCGACCCCAAGTCTCCTCGAGTCGAGACATCCCATTCCCAGGAAACAGCAGCTTCATCCTTCAATCTGGGGCAAACATGTCCACTCCACTTTCAACCTGTCCCCAACAGGTACATGATGTGATAAAGCCTAGTCTGCACAAGGCTCTGCTCACCTCCAAACTCCCCGGTGGCTTCTTCCACCACTCAAGTCCAAGTCTTTGCAGCAGCTCACAAGACTCCAGGCAACCCTGCCTGGCCCCCCACCACCCATCTCCTCTTCAATCTCTGTAACCCAAAGGCCCTGGCCTCCTTGCCGGGAAGACCAGGGCCTTTGCACTTGCTGTTCCCTCTGCTAAGAATGCTGGCCCCACATATCACTGGCTCACTCCCTGGCCTTCCTCCCATGTCAACTTCCCAGCAAGACCTTCTCCCCCTGCATCTTCATCCCAACACTCTACCTCCAGTCTCCCTGCAGCACTTGTCAGATACACCGTCCCTGTATGTCTGCCGGTCTGTGTGGAGCCACGCTCCCTGAGGGCAGGGACGAAGGTGTGGGCCTGTGCCTGCAGGCTCAGCAAACGTTGCAGGCTGATGACTAGAGGGGGCTGTGACAGCCAGCAAGGGCTCCAGAAGGAAGGAGGCCATCCTCGTCATCACTGGACACGCAGTAGACGTGTGTGTAACATGAAAGTTGCAAAGGGGAGCTCTTCCTGAGTCTGAACCCAGGGAAACAGGCAATTAGATCAGACCACCCAGACCCTGCTTCAGTCCCCATGTGGGGTTGAGTTAAGAACTTACACACCGTGAGCCTGGGCATCCTCATCCTCACTCAGAAATAACTACAGGACCTAACATCTTAGCTACCTCACCCCCCAGGTGGGGTGGTGGTGCGGGGGACGATCCAGGGGGCGGAGCAAAGGCAGACATCTATACTTTATCCTGGATTGTGGGCTACAGCACAAAAGGTTTTCATTGCTGGAATGGGATAGGGGCTGAGTTTGTTTTGTTTTGTTTTCCTGCCAAGGGGAGAGGTAGACCAAGTAAGTTTGGGAAGCTACACTCCAGGCACCGTGGAGACTAGGTCAAGGTCGGTTCCTGTCGTGCACACATCATCAACGGTGATGACCCCTGACTCTCCGTCACACCATGGTGGCCTGCCTACTGCCCTGCTGCTGGAATCGATACCACTAGTATTTCAGGTGCCAGCAGAGCCGCAGGGTGGACATGTTTCAGTGTAGCTTCTGGACAGACTAAAAAAGACAAGGAAGAAAAGCCTGGCAGTCTACTGCCCAGAATCAGCCAGTGAAAGCCCTCTGGATCACAGGAAGCACTGCCCGACAGCACTAAGGCCAGAGTCTCAGCCACGCCTGCAGACGAGGCGATCCACAGCTCTGGTCAGGGAGTCAAGACGCCTGCCCGAGATTGGATGCATGAGCTCAGGTGCAACCAGTTCCCATGGGAACCCCAAGGAGGAACGGACCATCACAGACAACTTCCTTCCACCGCCCCCTTCCACCTTCCAGGAGAACTCACGCTAGCAGGTGGTTCAGAGCTGGCCGGCTGAGGCAGGTCCCCGTTGAAAGCCACGTCAGAAACTGGGCTCCTGTGAGAGAGGGGGAAGGGGAAGAACTGAAGGCCCAGAAATGTCCACGCTCCCCACAAAGCAGTCAGACAGGGAGAGCTCCCCCCAGAGCCTGTGAGCAACTTTAACAGGGCCAGAAGCTGAACACTCTCAGGTATTTACTGCGGTTCCTGCGCGGAGAGAAGATGCCCCCCGAAGGAGGAGAGAGGGAGACGGGGAGGGTGTGCACAGAAAAAGTACACTCTCGAGCGAGCTAACTGCCTGCCAGCAAAGCAAGGGTTAACTCTACCCCACCCCACCCCCTTAGAGAAAGCATCCTGTTTGCTTACTCCCCTAAGTGGTCCCCAAAAGACATCTCCTCCCTCCTCTGCCTGCTAAGGGGTTAAGGCTCTCCCCAAGCCAAGGAGCCTGCAGCTGGTCCCAGCTGCCCTGCCAATATTTCTGGAAGGATTGCAGGAAGAGGAGGAGGGAGAGAGTGCACGTCCAAGGCTGAACTTGTGCCTCGTGAGCCCTGCTTGGAGTAATGGAGGGGAGGAGGGAGGGGGAAGGAACTTGGTCTGAGCTGCAGGCACCTCCTAGGCACCCTGGCCTGGGACCCACCTGGGAAAGGTTAACACCAGTGCCCTGCCCTGCCCTGTCTCCAGGCATGTGCCAGGTGACAGAACGGCAAGGCTGGTGGGTAGGCTTGGGCTTGGCTAGGCAGGGCAGGGGAGGGTCTAGGCCCACAGCAGCCCTGCCCTTCCCAACAGCAGCAGGGGGAAGGGAGCTGTGGGCCCACAGAGTCACCAGGACAGCTGTGCCTCCAGCTGATGCTCCTTTGCCCCGAGGAAGGGCCCCCTCCTTGAGCCCGGCCAGTGGGGTCCGAGAGCCACAGCCACAACCACCTCCGCTGTCCTATGCCCACCGCCCCAAGGGCACCTGCTGGCCCAACCCAGAGGTTAAATGCCACAGCCTGGCCCTTCACCCTCCCAGGAATGTGCGCCTCTAATCTCTCCCATCAGACTCATCCTGCAGCCCCTCCCAGCCCAGGCCTGGCACCCTGCTCCCGCCCTCCACAGAGCCTTCAAACAGACAGACCCAAACACAGGCCCCAGCTCTGCCTCCTCCCTGTGGGAAGTCATTGTTGGGCCTCAGTGTCTTCCTTTCTGAAATGGGCCTATTATCTCTGTCACTCAACAGGATCCAGGTCTCGGTATACAGAAACTAAAAGCCAGCTTGCAGACGGGGCGTGTGAACTCTCACCCATAAACACATAGAAGCTGTCAGCAGGCAGAAGAACCGAGTGACATGCAGGCCAGAGCATGCCTTGCTCACAGCACACAGTGCTGCCGTCCCCAGCATCCGCAGCCCCTCAGACCTCACCTCTCCTTGGGAGTCTTGCTGTGCTTATCCTGGCTCTCAGCTGGAGACTTCTCCAGCCCGTCCTGGGGCCATGCCCTGGATAGGGTCACGCCATCTTCCTCCCGGGGGTTGGGGGCCATGCCGTAGGTCCTGGGGCCGTAACGAGAACTGCCGTCGTGGTTGAAGGTGAGCCGGGAGCCCCAGAGTCGGTCTGGGCTGGCGGGAACCTCCTTACGGGTCTGCTCCATCTTGGCCAGGATCTCTTCCACCGTGGTGGCAGCAAAGCGCTCCGATGCAGGGCGGAAGGGGGCAGGGGCCTTGCGCACGCCACCCAGGGGAGCACATCGGGCTGGAGGGGTCAGCGGGGGTACCTCCTCCTTGCCAGCCTCGTCCTTTCCGTTGTCTCGAGCAGCTTCTCCTCCATCAGGGGTCTCGGCAGCGGGCCTTGGTGCAAAGGGGAGGGGCCGCTTGCTGCCACCATAGGGCTGGGGGCCCGCCAACATGTTCATCTTCCGTGCAGAAGGCAGCTCAGCCAGGGGGCCCCGGGGTGGCCGAGGCCCGACAGGCACCAGCAGGGTGGGCTTGGCAGGCAGGGCCGGCTTAGTGGGCAGGGCCCGGGGTTTGGGCTTGACAGGTGGTTTGGCCCGAGGGTCACCTACAAAAAGTGGGGAGGGCAGCTGTAAGAAGAGTCTGGAGGTAGAACTTGTACTTCTTGTTCCACCTCATCTCCCACCGTCCAACCTCAGAATGTTCACATTCTTCTGGGCACAAGGCAAATGCCACCTCTTCCATGAAGCCTTCCCGGGTTGCCCACACACATCTGGGAGCATCTTCTCCCTTCTCCAAACTCCCAAAAATATTAGGCCATCCCCTTTTATAAGTTACAGCTATTTAAAGGCCCAGTTAGCATCTCATTTCTGCTTAATTCCCATTTGGCACGGTGCATAAGTTCTTATCAAAAGAAGGAAAAAGAATGAAAGAATAAGCAAGTGGGCAAATGAGTCTACAGATCCATGCCCGTCCACCTGCCCACTGCCTGTGGTCTTAGTCCTTCCCTTGATGATAGGACGCTGGACCTCAGGCCCAGCCCGTGGGAAACTTTTAATCCCAGCTGGGCTTCTAGACCCTGCCTCCCCATTGCTCCCTCACCCGGGGCACTCCCAGGCCGCCTCCCCACAGTCATCCGGTGTATGATCAAGAACGCAATTTTACTATTGACCTAAGCCAAACAGAAGGCAATCTGTTACAGTAAAAAAAAAAAAAAAGGCCAGAAATTGCCCTTCTATATAAGGCATTCCAAAGGCAGAGAAAAGACCTTGGAATTACTCATGGCCACCTCCATTCACACAGAGCCCTGTTTCACCCTCATGCAACTCAATATCAGCAAGGAGTCTAGGCGGGGAGGAATCTCTCCCTTCTGGCCTCAGTTTCCCCTGTGCACAGCATGCAGCTTAGCAGCAGCATCTCAAGGAGTCCTGGCTGCTCTGACCTGCTTGGTGGGGGTAGGGGGGGAGATCCCTACAGGTCTCAGACATCCCCAGAGAGTCTCCACAGCCTCCTGCACAGGTGCCAAGACACTAGAGCCTCCACGCCCCACCAGGACAGAAAAGAGGTGCAGCCGCTCCAACCCTCCTCCCTAGTCATCCACCACACCCAGCACCCATGGGTACCTGGCTCGGAGCCAGCGGGCACCAGCTCCTCCTCCAACTCCCGGGGCGGTGGGGAAGCCATGGCTGTGCCTTCCCTGAGAGGTGAGACTTTCATCGCATGCAGCAGGCCCTGCGTGAGAACAGGAAGCAGGGGGCATGAGCTGGGGGAGAGGAGGTCCCGGGAAGAGGAGGAGAGAGCCAGGGGTTGGCAGTAGGCGCTGCGCGCCAAGAGAAAGCTCCTCCTCCTAGCAGAAGGCAGAGTGGGGCAGGAAGAACTTCCGAATGGGGGCTGGGGGAGGTCAGAGTGGCTCCAGCCGCCAAGTCCTGTGCTTCCCTGCCCTGTCCCGGAGCCACCCACTGCTCCCTCCTCCGTCCATCTGGCAATCTCTCCAAGTCACCCCACTTACCGTTCCCAAGGCAATCCTTGGGTCCGGCGGCCCCGCTGGAGTTACCTATGCAAGGTAAAGCAAGGTGGGCCGCAAAGTCTGAAGTCTGCGTGAATCACCTCATGGGAGACGGGAAAAACCCGCTCCTCCCCAACCTGGGGCTCCGCCCCACCGCCTGCCTACCCACCCCCCTCCTTCCCGCTCACCCTCCTCCCCCTGGCTCCTGCCTCCTCCAGCTGGGAGTGGTTCCCTCTCCCCCTGCAAACCCCCCCCCTCCACCAATCCCTGCCCCACTCCCGCCTCCCTCAGAGCTGTCTCATCCAAACTCGGAAAAATAAGGAATAAAAAGTAAACATCTGGAATACATTTTTTTTCCCTTTAATTTCTCAATCGCTTTGGCTTCAGCATAGGATTTGATGAGGTAAAGCCAGGGCCTAGTCTAGTTGCCATAGCAATGGCCTCCCACTGGATTTCCAGAGCTTTGCCAAGAGGAAGGAGGAGCCCGGCCAGGCCTGGGCTGGGAGAATGGGATGTGGCTTGAGAACATCCGGGGGGTGGGGAGGGTGGGGGAGTGGAGTATCCTGGGGGAAAACTCACTGGGGTTCCCCTTCTAGGACTGCCAAGGTGAACAGCCACAGCCTATGGGAAAGTGGACTCCGTGGCCATCACTCAGCAGCAGTCTATGGCTGACAGAAAGAGGTGGGGGGTTGTCTTTTGGGGGGGGTTAGGGTGGGGGTGGAGCCAGAGTTGAAATGGGCACCCCCTCCTTCATGTCCATAACATGAATTGCGAGGGTCCCAGAGAACCAGAATTCAAATCCTGGGTGGATCTGTACTTTGTAGCTGAGTGACCTTGGGAACATTGCTTTCTTTTCTAAGCCTCAGTTTCCTTCCCTGAAAAATAGGGCTAGAGGCTCCTGGAGACTCAAATGACATAGATACTCATTGCTACTGAGCTGATTCCAACCCATAGCAACCCTACGGGACAGAGTAGAACTGCCCCGCAGGGTTTTCAAGGCTGTGAATCTTTGTGGAAGCTGACTGCCGCATCTTGTTCCCTTGGAGCAGTTGGTAAGTTGGCAGCTATGAGCCTTACCACTGCACTACCAGGATCGCTTTTAGGCATGCAAACTGCTGAAAAGAGAAGTGTTAAACCACCTTTAGCTACTAGGGCTGTTATTGCGCTCACAAGGTCCCCCGTGAGCACATCTCTCTGGTAACCATCTCTTCAGCTCCCTGGACCCCAAGCTGCCAGCATTCCCTGACCATTCATTCCTTCACTCCCACACACCATGGTCCAGGCACCTGCACTTCAGACTCTCCACCACCTCCTCAGTTCCCACCCTGGCTCTGGGAGCACCATCCCACCCACAGGACCCTCCGGCACCACAGCCCGGGGTACAGAGACCTGCCCACCTGCACCTTGAGATCAAAAGGAAGGGGAACGGTGCTTATCACAAAGCAACCTTCTCCAACCTCCCACTTATCTATGCTCCAGCGGGTCTGAGAGGGCGGAGCCAGGTGTTTAAGAAGGGACAGGGACCACAGGTCTGCAACCTTTGCAAAGCCCACCCAATTCCCCTTTGACCCACCCCACCCCTATTCCAGATAAAAGAGAAAATGTGTGAAGGGTACAGAGAAACTCCAGGACTATCAACTGGTCGGCCAGTCAGTCAGCAACCACCCAGGACTGCCCATTGTGGGTGGGGAAAAACTGAGCAGGGCCTTGGCCAAGTGTGCACATAGGGGAGGAGCCACGACAGAAAAAATAAAATTAAAAAACACGAGATGGTTTCCTTGTCCTTGAACGTTATACAAGCGACATGGTGTGGGTGGTTCGAAAGGGGGGCAATCCGAAATACCCTGTCACCTAGGGGCCTGCGGGGCGCTTCTGGGGTATGAGGAGCTACCCTAGGAAGACAGTCATGAACGTGGGTTCCCGGTTTCCCCAATTGGGGAGAGGTCACAGCAGCTCACAGGCCCCAGCCAGGTGCCCCAGGTGACCAGACTGGGGCCAGAAGCTGCAGAATCGCAGCAGCTCTGACGACTCCCCACCCTCCAGAAGCTTCGGGAGAACCGGCTGAGTGGGCAAAGACGCCCAGAGGGGCTGGGAACGGCTGAACAACTAGCGCCCGAGGGAAGGGCCAAGGGGGATTATCCTTCTGGCCCTTGGGAGTTCTGGCCGCATCTGGGGCCACAGAGGTCGATGGGGCCAGCGGGCAAACTACTGGAGAAAGGAGGGTCCGCGAGAAAACGGAAAAGGCCGGGGCGAGGGGGCCGTCTGGAGGGGCCCAGTGGGGAGCTCTGGACACAGAGGGGGAGGCGACAGCCGGAGAGTAGGAGGAGGCAGCGCGGAGGACCCGTGCGCGGGACGCGAAGCAGCCGGGGAACAGACGGGGGACTGGGGACGCGGAACGGCTGGAGGAGGCCTAGGGTGGCTGGGGGCGTGCCGAGGGGCAAGGGGAGGGGCCAGC